GAAACTAGCGTTAGCATTATCAAATGGATGAGGACTGTGGACTTATAGTGTATAGACTTATGGGCCTGCTAGGTTGACTTGACCGATTTAAGTTTTTTGTTATACATGTTTGTAGTTAGCTCAAAGGGAACTTGGACCTAACATAATACTTTATGAACTAATGACAGCATTGCGTGAGGAGTGTACAGTAAATCTATTTGCCGCAATTTTTCACATACAGTATTAGTCTATTTGAAGTTATTTATTAAACTCATTAAGTAAATGAAGAGAGATTATGTGATAATATGCACATATAGGTCAAACTTCAAAACTTTTAGTTTCTGAATAAATTCATTTCTTAACTGTCTATGTTTCCCCTTAATGTAATAACTACATATTATGTATTGTTCAACTATACGTCTTTAGAAATATATTTCTCTATTCTCATGTTTAATCTGCATAATATTATACAAACATCCAGAATCGATGTATATATGTATATGAGTCTGGCATCTCGTATGAAATCGGCAGGCATTTTGAGCATAAGTGTGAAAGTAGATCTAAACATTAGCCCGAAAACCTTCTACTCATGCGGATTCCAAGAAAACTCTCGGTCTTTATAGACTGCTTTTTGGGTTATAATTAAGTGATTCAGTGTACAAAAATGCTCAACTTCAACTGTCTGCGTGTCCGACATTTTGAACGATAGTCATAAGGAGGTTTCAAGTGGGATATCACATACCACACCCCCCCCCCCCTTGGCCGCCGTCTTGAATTATTAAATTACGACTATTATCCTATAGTATTCATGTATGTTCAAAAAATATTTTGGGATGATCATTCAAAAAGCACATTTACTGATAACTCTTGTGTTAAAAAATCAGAAAGAGAATGTTAATCTGGTCGTTATCTCAACACACATCAAAAGCGAAAGTAGCTTGGCACATACGACAAATTTAAGTCAACCATAAAAGAAGGCCCCTCTTCCGTTCCGATACATAACTCAGACCCATCAACCGTGTCTACTAGGGGTGACCTACAAGGGTGACATTGATTTTCAGAGTTGTCACCGTCGGTGGTAAGATATTTACTTGGGTAGTGGTAGGTATTGGGTATCCGGTAGCAGAACCGGATTAAAAAGTTTTTACCGAAACATGGTACAGATCAATCGTACAAGTATACAGTCTAGCCAGAAAACGATCGCAAACGGTATACAATTATCTGCTGCTAAAGTTTTCTATCCGCTCTGAACTTTTCTGAACATTTGAAGTTTTCGCGATCAGTCAATTCACCTTCAAGTGGACGTATAAATACTTCATATTCGAATTTACATAAAGAATGACAAGTAATACTGAAAAGTATCTTAACAAATAAAATCAGGAGCACTCAGGAAACGTCGGCGCTGCAAGGCTTTGTCACTTACGACAGCAGTTATATGGATCAAATGGACACTAAAATTAAGAGCGCTGACGTGATGTGACGGTTTTGATATTTGCTTCTATTATCGAAAAATAAGTAACAATGACCAATTACGTTACATCGACGCAATGGCGAAACAGAAAAACCACAGTATGTTCAAAATCTTTGCTTTTGTTTTCCGAATATTCGATATTTTCTAGACCTAGACTGGACACAGTGTATATGTCGGCGTCAAACCCTAAAATCCGCCATTCCCTGAAACGCCTATTGCCAGCAAATACCGTAACAGTGATTATTACAACGTTTGACTAAGCATTTCAGTCATTCCCTGTCATGATTGAACAATTTCAGTCAAACACCGTAACAACAACAGTAACTTCGTTACCGCATTCGCCTATTTTAGTCAACCGCTGTAATCAATACAGTGTTGCCCCAATGAAGTACATAATATAACAAGGTACTGCATTATCAATAATATTAAAAGCATAATAATCAAGCATGCGTTAATCTAAAAGAAAAGAAGAGTAGATTAAAGCGTTGTCTTTATTATTACATTATTGTGGTCATTTATGATTAGTGTATTAAATCAACAAGAAATATCCTGAAACTATCGAAAGAAATATAAAACAATACACATTAAAAAAACAAAATGCAAAACTGCCAGTAGTAGCAAGCGAATAAAAGTTTCATAGAATTATATTATATTTTATATTATTTCAAAACATTATTTTTTGTTTAATTTTTTTTTCTAAAGTTATACATGTTCACAATACCGCAGCAATACTGATGGTGAAACGTGCATCGAGGACGTGTATTGTTGATATAATAACTCCAGCGTGGACGAATTATATATTTTTTTAATCTAGTATTTATATACGAAACACGGCAACAATGGATGCTGCTGTTGAGCAAGCCTATGTACGTTATAATTTGGGTTAGGTTCACGATATTATAAAAATTGACTTACCTCATTTACAGTGGCGGCCGGTCCATAGGGGCGAAAAGGCTACAGCCCCCCAAGACAAAATGCGAATTAACAAAAAATTTAAAATATGATTTTGAGATTAAATAATTTCCAGATATATACGAAAATTCAATCAAAACCTGAATTTTAATAGTAGCCAGTTACGCAACACGCAATATATATATATATATATATATATATATATATATATATTATCCGATCCCAATACCCCGAAGTCGCGAGCTAGATTCCCTATCGATTCGAGGCTAGAATAATTTTTGCCGCGATCGCCGACCTGATTGAGTGGCTCGCTACGTCATACCCCCCACGCGCTTACGAGTTTTATACGGGATTTTAACACGCGAGGTGGCGAAATAATTTTTAGCCAGTCCCGATTTACGTGTGTACGAAATCGCTTCGTCGCGTCCCCGTGCCGTCGTTCGGGCGTTCAAAAAGTTTAAAATGGCAAATGAAGTACAAAATTTGTTAAAAGGTGAATTTTCTCGGCTTCCGCTTGCTGAAAAAATAATAATAAAATCCCTTGGAAGGCCGATTCCAAATATCAACCTTACTCAGGCTGATAAATCGACGAAAGCTGGTTGTTTTAAGAGACATTTTAAGAAAGATATCTATAACAAAAACAAATGGATATGCGGTTGTGGCACATTAAACGCCCTGTTTTGTTTTCCGTGCTTACTGTTTTATTCAGATGCAGCGGAAAAGACATGGACAAGAACTGGATTTAAAGATTTAAAGCATATAAACCAGAAAATTAGTAAGCATGAAAATTCGGCTCGTCACATGATTTGTTCGACAGAATTAGCTTTATTGAGAACAGCTAGTATCGCTGCTCAGTTAGATTCCGCTTACAGGCAAAATATTATTAAGCACAACGAGCAAGTGGACAAAAATAGATATCTTTTAAAAAGAATAATAAACTGTATAAAGTTTTGCGGTAAATTGGAATTAGCGTTAAGAGGGCACGACGAAAGTGAAGACTCTGAAAATCGTGGCATTTTTCGAGAGTTGATTAATTTTACGTCCGAACTGGATACAATATTAAAGGAACATTTAAAAAATGCGACACTGTTTAAGGGTACTTCTAAAACAGTACAAAATGAAATACTAGATAGTATGTTGGAAGTCTGCCAACAAGAAATTCGACAGCAAATTAATGCAGCAGAGTTTTTAGCTATACAGTGCGACGAAACAACAGATATTTCACATCATTGTCAAATGGTAATGATATTTAGATATCTCCATGAAGGTGAAATACAAGAAAGATTTTGGCGTTTTTTGAGCGTTACGGACAAGACAGCTGAAGGTTTGGCAAAGTGTATCGAAGAAGAACTAGGCCCATTATTAAAAGATTCACCCCACAAATTAATTGCGCAAACTTATGATGGTGCAAACGTAATGAGCGGTAGCAGTGGTGGAGTTCAAACAAAAATCAAACAAAAATATCAGAACGCTCATTTTATACACTGTTACGCTCACCAACTGAACTTAATTATGCAGAGAGCAGCCAGCCAAAATCCAAAAGTGAAAGTGTTTTTTTCAAACCTGTCGGCAATTCCAAGTTTCTTCTCCAACTCCACGCACAGATGCGATTTATTGGAAAAAATAGTTAAAACCAAAATGCCAAAGGTTGCGCCAACACGGTGGAATTATAACATTCGCACAGTCAGTGCCGTTTTTGAGAACCGTGAAAGTCCTATTGATTGTTTCCGGGAGTTAGAGAATAAATGTGATAAAACAATTACTAGTAAGGAGGCATACGGTTTAAGAAGAGCACTCGAAGATTCTGATTTCATCTTTTTTTTGATTTTTTTTCACAAAACCCTACCGCACGTAGCTATTTTGTTTAACCAGTTTCAAAGTAGGAATAAAGACAGTGTACAACTTTTAAAAGATATTGACGTATTTGAGAAGGCCATTGTATTGATTAGGGACACTACAGAGGATATACAGCAAACTGTTGAAAATGAGCATGGAGACAATGGAAATAAACGCAGAAAAGTAGGACCCGAAGAAAGAAATTGTATTATTGCAAAAGAAGTTTGCGATATAATAATTGTACAGACAAAAGAGAGACTTTCTTACAGGGGTCATCTAGAAACTGCATCTTTATTAGATACACAGAACTTCACAAACTATTCGAGATATTTTCCAGCAAAAATACTGAATTCAGTTGTGACTTATTATCCAATGGTAAATAAAGAAAAACTGAAAACCGAATTAGAAGTAATGTACATGAGGGAAGACTTCAAAAATATTACAGGTGGTTTGAATTTGCTGTCCCTATTGACTAATAACAACCTAGAGGAAACTTTTAGCGAAGTAACTAAGTTGTTGCAAATAATTATAACTACTCCCATGTCAACTTCCGAAGCAGAGCGCTGTTTCTCAACCCTTAAGAGGATAAAATCGTTTTTAAGAAACTCGATGGGCAATGAACGACTGAATGCATTGGCAATGATGTCTGTTAATAAGAATCTGGTACATAATATCAGCAATTTCGACGAAAAAGTGATGGAACATTTTATTTCACAGAAAGACAGAAGATTAGACTTTACATATAAACATTAAAAAATATTTTGTAATAAATAGAAGTGTGAAGTGTGACAGTTGAAACACAATGTTTGCTCTAGCTGTAGGTAGGTATACTTAGTCGTTTATATTACAATAATACATTTAGGTATACCGTATTTCTGTTCTCTTTTCCAGTTATTTATAGTTACATGTGTTGTAAGAAAGTGAAAAACTATACTTTTGAGTACTGTTGTTCTTTTGATAATAGATGCTCTGTTGCTTTCATATTAGATGCTGCTTTCTTTTGCGATAAGTTCTCGTACCTAAAATATGTTTGTTCCTAAACAGAGGACTGTACATAAAATATATAGGTACCAACTGATCCATCCACAAAATCAGGACATAAAAATGCAAAAAAAATGATAGCTCTAAAAATGTATATTTGAATTTGAAGGCTCAAAATGGAAGTTTTTGGGCGTGGCACCGTAAAAATTCTTTGCCTCCGGCGGTGACTGCGGCAAGCCACCCTTCCCTACAATAGCCCCCCATTTCTCACAGCCACCGGCCGCCCTGCTCATTTAACTCATTTGTATTCCATGGTTTGTTCTTATTCACTTTGTCATAGTATTCACTTAGTTTCTTGTAAAACAATTCTGAATGCTGCGACATCTTTACAAACACAGAAAAGACGATGTGTATAAGCAACTGAACACAAAACTGGTACAATGAATGACTGAATCAGGTAAATTCAGTCACGAAGTTAATGTGATTGTTACGGTGTTCGACTAAAATTGTTCAGTCATTACAGGGAATGATACACCACTGTATATACGCACATATAATTGTAATTGTATACGTCTTGATACACATGTAAGCAGTGTAAACATTGTAGACAATGTATAGCATATATACAACCCCTGTATAGTATAGTAAGTATACAAAGTATAGTTTTAAATAAATTAGGAACATATCTAAAGTAAAATAAAACACATTTTGGAAACAAAATCCACACAAAATAATAAACATGATCTGCTTTAGTCCATCCGTCTAAGCTTGATTCTCTCGGACAACGAACGGAAGCATAGCAACTATACACTACACAAAGTGTGTGATGTGACGACGCGAAGCGCCATCTGCCACTAGAATCGAGCACTGCGAAACAGCGAATTGCCTACCAGTTGGGACCAGTGCCGGATGCTCCGCTGTTCGATTTTCGTCCGCCGGTGCGCATGACGTCACGCTGAGAGTGATTCTTATTTAGGTTTATATGGATAACGTGCATATTTTCACCTACAGGCCAAACGGCTGGACGGATTTTCACATATGAAGTGTCGTTGTATTCGAATTAGCGGTGCGAGTGACCCAAAGCTACATTAAAATTTCATAGAAAACAAAATGGTGGTTTTAAATAAAATATTTCTTCCTTGTAATTTCTATTTCACAGGCTTTCTAGCTCCACAATAGAGTGTATCGTCACTTTACTGCAAAAACAAGATAACTCCACTTTTCTACATTACCTAAATTTTAGTAGGTTATGTGGAGCAGCGTTAACACGCTCGTGACTTTAATACGGCACTACATTTATCCTTATTTCACAGAACATCCCAAGTACATGTAAGTGTGAGAATGTACGCACCTCGAAACGTAGAAAAATGGAGTTATCCTCTTTTCGTAGTAAGCTGGCAGTATTACAATAGATGGAAATGACTTAATCCAAGCAACATGTTTTCTCCATTTCCTTTTACGATTTTTCTGGTCTTTCAAACTTTTATTTAGTTCTTTGATCCGGAAGAACATCGTTGACCTGAAAAATAGTTTTTCAGCTTCTTCATAGCAGTCAATGTTGCTGCTCTTTACAGAAGTTCGCCTACAAAATTTTGCTTTTCTGTCACTATTCCGTCTCCTTTGGATGTAGTGAACACCTTGATCAGCTTCCCAATTTGATTCATGAAAGTTGTGTAAGGTTTTGATAATCCACCCTCACTAAGATGGTCTATCCAGAACATCCTCTCATCCTGCAATTTATAGCAAACAAAGCCGGCCAAATTTTCCAGCCCGTCATACTCGAGCTCATCTATTTCTTCCACAAAAACTTCCTCGTTAGAGTCAGATGCATTCAGTTTATTCATAACTGATGCGGTTAGTGGAATGTCTGGAGTATCCCCTGACTGTACGCTGTAATACTTTGAGTATTCATACGCTTTCGTTTCGCGTCAAAATATATTTATATTGTTCTACTACTGTAGCATAAACTCTTTGAAATTAAAACCAATTTTTTACTTTTTAGTTCGGTTAGGTATAAAAGCGTGTTTTTTTAGTTCTTTTAAGCTATTATTTATTATTCTTTCCCTATAACCCCGCCGCTGGACCGATTTTCAAAATGGATAAGACTTTTTCGTTCGTAGAAGTTTCCACCTGTCTGTCTACGTGCTACATACGTCAAACAGCAACCGAAAAACAAAATATCTCTATTTTCCATGCAAATTGAAAAACGACTGATTGTATCACAGTCCTTTCCTGGAAAGATCCCAGAATAATATTGAAATCAAAAATAAATCGTTGTCAATGAGACCTTAGCCTTCCTAAGCCGGCCCTGGATCCATGGTTGATGGCTTTGGTATAGGAACACGTGAGGGTCCACCCACGTCAAATCACTAGACGTTTGTCGCCAGATAATTAATCGATTAGGCGAAAAATAAGACAAACAAGAGTCCGCTAAGCCACTTCGGGATTATTTTTGGTTTTCGGAAATAAGGGGAGTGGCTGATAGCTCAGGACGGCGGCGACGAAACTGCGATGAGTGACGAGGGGATGTTTGGACTAAGTAGATGAACAATTTGTGCAGAGAAAAGTGATCAGAAACGCCAGATGCATATTGCTTCTGCAAGCCGCATCAACACACAACAGTAAAAAAATGCGTAGAGAAGCATTTAAAGAACGGCAGCTTCAGGTTTCAGCCGTCAGGATCTTAAAGAGTAACAAACAATTAACTTCACTGACACTGTAACTAGCAGACAACTGTTCACAATGTTTCAAAACTGTATGTGAGCCCTTGAATAAAAAAAGTTCTCGAGTGGCCGGAAACACTGTTTTACTTGTATGTGGACTGAATTATAACTCGATACAAAGACTTAAATTTTGTTTTTATTGAGCGTTTTAACTGTACAAAAAATTGTTAATAATGAGATGGTCACAAAAAACTCGTCAAAACGACAATCCATGACTACGTTCAGCCAACCTGGTATTATTGAATTCTTTAAAAATAAACGTAATTGCTGAAAACTTTAGCGATGATACTTTTGTCTGTTTTACGCAATGAAATAATACCAGTTTTCTTGTTTATAATCGAGTTATAACTTCCTCATTATATATTTCCAAGATCATACTATAATTCTCTGAAACCGTATAAACGAACACATAATTTGTTTGTTGGTATTTGCCCTTATTTGGCTTGATAATTCATTAACGTGAGTTCCACCAATTCCTCGCAGCAACCATATGAGCTCTGTAAATGAAAAATGAAGATCTCAAGAGCTGTATATTCGGCACACGATTTGGCAAAATACGTCCTCAACTCACTTCAATAAACAAAATGAAGCTGATAATTATTCACAATTCTCCTAGAACACGTAAAATTTTTAAGATACAAGGAAATGTTTAATCATCTCTCACATAAATTAAATTATTCCATTTTTTAAATATTGTCAGGCAGATTGGATTCTCAATTTCGCAAGTGCTCTTTGGAGCTGCACCACAAATGCGATGCAAAATTCTCGATACAATGAGGTTTGTCAAACAATGGCTTTGTGACTTCTGAAAAATGTGTATTTATTTATCTATTTATTTATTTATTGATTTACTTATGATCCATGCTTCCATATCAAAGAAGCGTAAGTACTCGGGCTTTGGTCGCAACAACAAAATAAAAAGAGTTTTTAGTGCTGCTTCATTGGCAACAGATCGGCAGTTACGCATTAGCAAACGTAGAATCCGTGTCGCTGCAGGAAAATGTTACACTAAGGTCGTTAGTCACTCTATGCCTCAAAGTGATGAGAAACTTGAGAAACGGTGCAAGATTTTGGAGAAAAACGAAGTTTGAAAATGTTTCAAAACCTTGACACCTCTGGCCATTTGTTTGTGATTGGCTGAAAGTTGTCAGCAACATACAGACACCCAACGTTCCATCAATGAGGCATACTACTCTAGCCTTCTATAAACACAGGTGAAACCCGCTTATCGCTCGAAATGGAGAAGCATTCCAGCAAGAAGTGCGATTCTTCTCCAGGAGAACGCGTGCCCTCATGATGGGCGTCTCATGCTCGATACAATATCGAAATTGTGGTAGGAGGTACTGAAAGACCCCCCTTACAGTCCGGATTTATCTCCCTGCGACTACTACATGTTTGGATCACTGACAGAAGCCCTCGGAGGTCAAAGATTCAACAACGACGACGAGGTAGAAGAGTTCGTGCGCACATGACTGTCCGAGTTGCCCAAGGAATTCTTCGATACCGGCCTTAAAAAGCTTCCGGAAAGGTGGAAAAAATGTGTAACTAGTGAGGGAACGTCCCTAGAAAAACTGTAAATTTTTGTAAATTTTTTTGATAGTAAATAAACGTGTCAGATCATTTGTCTCGATCATATTTGAACCACCCTCGTACATAACGCCAAACAAATCTATTCATTGAGATTCTATTTTTTATGTCCAGAACACCATATAAGCGAAATCATTTTAGCATTGGATATTATAGCTTCTTTAAAATCGAAGTCGCAGTGGTGTAAAAGCCACAATGCATGCAGGAACTCAAATGTGACACACATAAGGAATCATGCGGATTATAAAGCCTGAAATTACAGTCTAGCCCAAGAATAATGGTTAATTTACACAGCAAACTTCGTTTTCACTATGTCTACTGATCCCCTTGACCAGCTGCCTTTTGTCATTCGAACAGAAGAGCTCTGTTCGGAAATCGCGTCCTCCCACCAAGTGAAAATTCGATACGCAAGAATTAGAATCCAAAGCCGAAAAGTCAAAAGGACCGTGTCTCTTTGAAAATCCCTACCGCGTCGAATCTCGCAGCGGATCCCTTGTGCCCGTGTGCATTTTCACCTGGCCCGCTTTTTCGAAAACAAATTTTATACCAATTGTTCGTTGTCTGTGTTGTGTGCGTTTCGGCAAAATTCACGAGAAATCAGATTCGTACCGTAAAATTGTGCTCAGAACTGTTTAATGAGGGCTATAGAGGGTTCAAGTAGGTTTTTGAGAAGCGTGTTAACCGGCGCGGTTAAATATACAATAGTAAATGTAACAGTTCCAATGTGCTTTAAATTTGGGATAGCTGAAATGTGTTCAAAAGAGGTAATTTGAGCTTCGTAATATGGAGAACGACCACAGCCGTTATGTTTCTGATCAACTATCAAGTTTAACGAAACTTGGAATAATTCATAAAAACCGAAATAGACAATCATAAAGGATTAGGTTCGGCACAGGTAAAACCCTCTGAGTGGAAAATTAGTTACGAACATCTACAACAAAGAAATTATAAAAATCAAGTCAGTCACAGTGACTGGTGGTGGAAAACCTTCGAAAATTACTTTGCCAAATATTTCTCATTAACTACGTTTTCTGAACATTGAAGCAATAAATCAATTTATCAAAGTAAGAAAGAAGTTTTCAAACTATACTGTTCATGTACTTTGTATAACATAAGTTCTGCCTTTTTGCCGTTTATAACCTATTATGATGTTTACGTATTTTGTTTTTTATGTGATATTTATTTATAAATAAGTTAGTATTTGCCGTTATTAATAATTACTTTTGCTTCGGAATAATTTCGTTTAACTTAACATATAAAGAAACATGATATTTTTTGTTTATTTATATAATTATTTATGTTAAAGGTAATTATTAAATGTAATTATATAATTATTACATTGAATTATTAGATGTGGGACAAGATTTAAATTTGTGCTATTTATGTGAACTTTAATATGAATAAATTATATTAAAATGAAATTAAATCATGCATTACTATGTTTTTCATTTAAAAGAATAATATAAATAGGTTATGAAAACTGCGAAAAAAGGCAGTCAATATCTTTTTGCATAGTATACCTAAAAGCAGTAAATCATATGTTACTGCTTTCTGATTTTCGACAGTTAAAGACGTGTCCTTTACTTTAGGCCTCAACAACGAATGAGATTCGAAATCACGTTTAAATTACTCTCTATAATGTCATATAACTTTGTAATAACCTTACTCTTCCATATATATATTTATCTGCTTATGTTATGTACACAACAATTTAGATCTATACAAGACACAAGACGCACAGTGATGTACATAGTTACAACACACGTAACATGCATAATCCACTTCTATAATGTTCTTCCTGCGGCACTCAGAATGTCTGGCATAGTCTCATTTAGGTCTAGAACTAAAGCGTACCTTATCAAGAAAGATTTTTACAATATCACAGAATTTTTAAGTAATAACTTTTCGGATCTCTAATGATGGTGTGCTTGTTTACTTTTACTCTGTATGTTAATTTGTTCGAACGTGCTTGTTCTATAGTTTTGAATTTATTTTAAACTCATAATACCTCTTTCCACTTTTTTCTGTTAGTGTTGTTTTTTTACAGTTTTCTGTTAATATTGTTCTTTCCAACAAATGTTATTGTTTTTTGAATTTACACTTTTGCATTTTAAATTTTACTTTGAACTGTGTAAGCACGCAAGTGTACTTAGCACCAATAAAGAAATGAAATGAAATGAAATATTAAATGACTTTAGTTGTGTCATAATGATACTACTTATTTAGTTAAAAAAAATACAGAATTTTGAAATCCATTTTCCCAAACTTGGATTTTTGCACTTTACTGCCTTTTACGCAAGTACGGCAGTATAGCTATCTGGTTATAAAAATCAGACGTATAAACATTCGACACTTTTTTTCTGACTTTCAGCTTAGTCCCTGATACTATTTGGATTGTTTTACTATTTAGATGAAATCAATGTGACACATGAGGCTGTTCTGGGCATATCTAGATGAAATAAGAATAATAATAATAATAAACATAATAAGCTGCGATAAAACTCATCCCCTTGATATCGTGTGCATCTGGGATAAGTAAAAACGTGGAAAAAGTAATAATAATAATGTCTTTATTCCGAAAATGATCATAGTATGGCGAAGTTTAGCCATGGTTACTCTACCACTTAAGCATACTACAACCAGACAGAAACCAGAAATCTGATTATTATAAATCCTTGACGGCTCACAATTGGCTGTATGGACTTAATGCATAGTTCCTGGGCAACAGTGTTTCGATTGCATAACTCATACAATGTACTCGTATATCTAATCCAAGAATAATTTTCAAAATATCATTTCAGCAATAGTCGCAGTAATGTTAATGTAATGAGCGGCTTAATGCCATTAAAATGCGAATTCGACTCAGTCTCTCAATAACTAGAGTGAGACAACATTAAGGTTACCATATAATTTTGCATTCTATATAAATACATAGGTAATAGGGCTAGTGCCATCATGAATCTAGTCGCCTGCGTCGGTTTAGGCAAAAAAGTAGCGCCAGTAACTAGTGTGATTAAGCATTCATAAGCGGACAGAAATGCAAGCGTAATAATGATGATACTACTACTACTGGATACTGAGTTGGATAAGGAAATAACTAATACTAGTTATAGTTGCAGTTTGCAGTGGTTGTCTATCATATATTTTTAAAATGTTTCTTCGACCAAGGGCCAGGCAGTAGTCTTTATGGCATACCCTGACTGTTTAGTGAGAATTATCTCTTACAAAAAATATTTTTTCGAAATACAGCAAATATTGGAATTACAATTGGTGGTTATAATAAAAACTTGGGCCAGCAAGTCTAGATATACCTCTAACGTAATTTTGGATGCCCAAAGTTGTATCTAGCCTGTCGTTAACATTTAGTGCTTATTAAGAAGCTGAAATTCGGGGTGATGAAATGCCTGCATGAATACTATATTTTAGCGCAAAAGTTTAGAATTTGAAGATCAAGAGCAGCAAATTAATGCTTATCCAGTAAATATCTTGGCATCTATCTATACGTCCTACAATGCCAAGCTTGGAGTGTGTGCTTATTTGTTTGACTATATTTTTCGATCTTCATCATTTATCAGTGCTACCTTCACTCATCTACCAATAGTAAAGTTTTCTACTGCATCTAAATTTGCCGCCAATCACAGACACACACATAATTGCGCAATCTTCGCCACGCTCCGACGGACTTAACTTCATAATTTTCCCTTGCAAACGTAATTGCGTCAAGATTTTTTCCTTAATTAATAGGCCTGCCAGGCGCCACGTCAAATCAGAAGTTAATGATATCAAATTGCATCCAAGTTACAGGAAGTCCACGTCTACGAGTCTCGTCTCCTTCAATTTGTAGTGTTTACTTCGAGTATGCAAATCGATTTGCTAATAATGACAGGACGTACCAAAGAACTGATAAATTATTATTACGTAGAGTACGACCAAGGAATAATAAATAATATTTACAGACTTCAGACTAATTTAGTCGTGGCACCAGCTCGGTGGCAGATTATGCTCCTTAAGAACTTGATTATTCTCATTAGGATGGTAGTCGGTCTTTCTGGACGCTGGCCAAGAAGATTGTAGGGAACTTGTTAAGGGGTAGACTTCCAGCGCTTACGTGCTAGGATGGAACGATTGTAATCGATCCAAAGGATAAGGCGGAAGTCCTTATCAAGATCATTGCTGCCAACTCCCCCAGACGTCCCTCCCAACGCCAAGTGCGGTCGATTCCAAGGATTCCCTACAATATGCGAGATGGAACTATCAGGAATAAGACCGTAGGACAGGCTTTTATTGCTCGACAAAGCTGACTTGATCCCTGCTATCGTACCGAATAAATGTGCAGCAGCGCTTGCTCAAATTCTTTCGCGTCTCTGGCAAATGTTTCATGAATCCACTCTCCCAGACAATTGGAAATTTGTCCAGCCCGTCACAAAAAAGAATCCAAGAACGACCCCTTCAACTACAGACCTATAGCACTGCTTTCTGTTATCAGCAACGTGATGGAGATGAGCATAAATCGGAAGCTTCTGGATTATCCCGAACTTGACGATTTGATTAGCGGCAGGTAGTATGCCTTCCAGCACCAGTAATCAATCTGGAACCTATCAAGTGCTATGGTGAGGCTGTCGTTGCTCTTGATAACAAGAAAGCTTTCGGTCAGCTTTTTGACGGCTTCTCCTCTTCAATGTCAACGCGGGTGTTCTCGAAGGATCGGTCTTGCCTCCAGCATGTCTATCATAAATATATACCCGATCTTCTCTTCTGTACAATCAATCATATCTACAATGGTGGTATATGCATATAATTTATCAAGAATAATAACAATGGGTAAAATTAAAAAATGTTTAGTGACTCTCGAGATCTGTAAGCATGTACATGGTATTTTCAGGTGCCCAAAGCTAAAAATTCGATCAAAATAAAACTCCCTTTTCTCACAACTACTCCCAAAAATGGCCAGTAGTTCGAAAATCATATTAGAAGAGTAGAGAGGTTTTCAATTAGGTAGTAGTTATAATTTTCTGAATAGATCATCAAGTTCTCTGGAAGTCATTTGTGTCCAAAGAATATACAGGATCCGCAAGTATTCATGCTGATAGCGCTAATTCATCTCTGACGAACTACACGAGGTAAGTTTTTCAATGACCCGTGATGACCTAAGTGCTACGGTTAAAAAATTATTGAATCATAGGGCTAGAGGCACGTATCTCTATAGATGAGGCATAGATTTATAGGGTCTCGTCCTTGTATGAAGCTCTGACAGTGAATCAATAGATCTTACCATTCTGACAAAATGATAAATTCTGTTTGTTTTGAAATGCACTTGGGCACCCTCTGCCCTTTTTTGCTCACATTCTAGATCGCTGTAGGTCTTGGGTTTGGACTTGAGAAGTATCGCAAATAGACACAAAAGGGTCCACTAGATGTCCTTTACAATGGTAACGCTGTTTTTCCCTTCCCTACATTCTGATCAATCAATTAATTTTTAGAACTGTTGTCCATGAGAATATAAACGTAGAGCTTAGAGCTGCTATTTGTTGACATGTATTTCACAAGAAATCCTTGTCACCTGAGCGGTTGGTTCAGATTTCAAAATTACGGTTATCTCTGATACGACTAATCTGAGTAAAAAGAAATATAGGCAGGTGATTCTAAGGAGCCAGCGAACGTAGTATTTCGCGTGGTATGCGCTTACAGTACGGTATCAACCGATGCACTGCTGGTGGTGGCTGGCATCCTGCCAATTGATTTGCGCGCTCTGTAGAAAGGGCATCGACACTAGAAGCGAGCATGGACTAGAATGCTTATACCAAATATTAAAACATAGATTGACAAGGGAGCGGGGTGAATAGATTAATATACTGCACGGCCCCAGGTTGCTTTGACAGCTACCTAAAAAAGGTAGGAAAGAAAGAATACGCGACTCCTAATCATCTACTCGAATGTAGTAGTATATGTGTTGACTGCCAGAGACAGCTGAAATTGATGCTAGGCGAGAACAGCACTGCTGACAGTTTTTCCACGCATGTTAAGTGAGGGTTTAGTGAGTATGCCGCTTGTGGAGAATCTCACACTTCCAGCAGGAGGGACAGACAAGGCAATACTGCCTCAGGGTAACTATAATAGTTTTTCCCTGTAGAAAAAGGTTACGAAATAACCGCTCAAGCTTTGAATGTGTTGCTATCATATCTCGCGCTACAATGATAACATTTTTGCATACGATGTAAGCCAATATCCGGCGTTAGTTCTTTGAATTATCCATCACTAGTCCGTCTGCATCCGGATTACCAACGGTCCAAGCGCAAGGAGTCGTCGATGGAAGACAAAGTGTAAGGGCTGCGGCACCTCTGTGATCTCTGAATCGACTTTTTGAAGAGAACATTTGCTGGATTTCTAGATTTCCCAAATAATGCGTAGCGTATCCCAATGCCGTATACTCTCGTCGATATCCCACCATATCTCGTCATATCCCACGCACGTTCAATGTTCAAAAGCTCTTGAGATCTAGGAGGCCAAGAAAGAAGGATGATTGGAGTACTATTGAAGTCGTGTATTGGCTCTAGCAATATGAGTACTGGCATTATTTTGTTGAAAAAGAGGGTTTCCAAGCATTTTGAGGAATGACAGGAGCGAGAGACTTTCGGATATACCGCTGCGCCGTCATAGCATCTCTAATGGAAACTATAAGTGACCTAGCACCATATTTGATAGCGCCGATACAGTATGGTGCATGTGATTTAACTGAAAAATTTACATTACGTCTTACTCCTTTCGACTTATGCCTGTCCACCAGGGAACTACCCCTCTCCCCCAGACACATTTGAACGTTTTACAATTCGTAAACGACCCCTCCACCGCTCTTCAATTCTCGATCGCCCGAAACACTTTTTTGAGCGGGTATTTACAAATCATCTGGACCGCTCCCCCCAAAAAAATCTCGAGATTTGACTTTGAGCATTCCTAAACGGAATCGAGGTCATCATTAAAAACAATGTTACACCATCATCTCAATCTACTCGGTCTCAGTTCTGTTTTAGGGATGCGTGACAGACGGGCACGATTCAGGAGCTGTCTCAAAGAAAGACATGATATATTAGTTCATTTGAACGTCACTTGCACTATACAGAAGGAGCTATGTTTGGTGCGCCATTACATGTATGGTGTAAGTCATCCCTAGTCTGGATTAGAGGAGGTACAATGGCGCAACGATGTATCCAGGAAATACTAGAACCTTATTTATTTATTTTATTTTATTTATTTATTGAAATCCACCACCAACAGTGTTAACCAATTACTGGTGGCAAAACAACAATAGAAATAGTAAAAAAAACATATAAAAATACAACGAAAACTAAAAACTAAATCATTTCACTGCAAACTCTCTTAATGTTCGAAATACTTGTGTTGAACAAATCAAATGTACTCTGTAAACTATTATAACATGAACACATCGAGTACAAAGGTGAGTGCAACAGTAAGTTAGTTCGTGGGGTAGGTAGGTAAAAAGTGAGTGTATTGCGAGTAACAAATTTTGGAGCATTAAATTTAATCTGTGCTAGAAATGATGGACAATCATAACTGCTATGCACTACTTTATGCAGGAATATTAGCGAGTGAATCTTTCTTCTGTTATCAAGACTGATAAACTTGTGCTTCCGTAACAGGTCTTCCTGTGGGACCCCAATGGGTGGGTACGTACCGTCAATTTTGAATGAAAGAAATTTCAGAAATTTCCGCTGAATCTTCTCCAGAGAGCCACAAGTTGTAACATAGCATGGATTCCATATTAGCCGTCCATATTCTAATTTAGACAGTATGAATGAATTATAAAGCATAATCATGGCATCTTTGTTACTTAATTCCTTTGAGTTACGTATTACAAATCCTAATAATCTGTTAACAGCATTAATAAGGTACTCAATATGAGGATTGAAGCTAAGTGACATGTCGAAAATCACACCCAGGTCCTTGCATTCTTCTACTCTCAGCAGAGAATGATTGCCAATTCTGTAGTCAAATGTAATAATATCTAGCTTTCTGGTGTAAGACATAACACTACATTTACTGTAGTTAATTGGAAGTCGATTTACAGCACACCATTTAACTATTTTGGCTAGGTCTTTTTGTAAGTGAGCACAGTCAGTGCTGCAGTCGACATTGGAAAAAATTTTCAGATCATCAGCATAGATTAAGTGGCTGCTGTCGATGTCGCTAACAATATCGTTTATGAACAGTATGAAAAGCAAAGGACCTAAGCAGGAGTCTTGAGGTACCCCTGAGGTTGGAAAGAATTCAATGGATTTGACACCCTCATATTCAACATATTGCTTTCTTCCTGATAGATATGACTTAAGAAAGGATAACAGCTTGGGGGAGAATCCAAAATAGCTCAGCTTCGTTAACAGAATACTGTGATCAAGTTTGTCAAATGCTTTACTAAAATCTGTATAAATTACATCCACCTGGCTATTAGCATCTAATGCAGAGGAGACTGACTGAGTAAAACAGGCTAGGTTAGTTATGGTTGATCTACCCTTCATAAAGCCATGCTGAGAAGTACTTATTTGGGCATGTGTATTGTGGTATAGGAAATTATAAAGCAAAGTTTCTAAGGCCTTGGAAAAGATACATACTAGGGTTATCGGTCTATAATTTTCAACCTGTAGTCTATCACCCTTCTTGAAAATGGGACGCACCTTTGATTCGCCCCAAATTTCAGGAAACGTGTCAGTCTTTAAACATAGGTTGAAGATCTTTGTCAAGGGATGAGCTAAGACGTAGGCACAGTCACGCACTAAAAACGATGGAATTCCATCGGGTCCGGAGGTAAATTTATTTTTCATTTGCTTTAACACTGTAAAAACTTCTTCTTCGGAAAAGCTCTGAAGTATTATGTTAGTATGCAAGTCCGAAATATTGATATCAGTTGCGTTCGAAGGCATAGTATATACAGATTGAAAAAATAGCGCAAAAGCATTAGCAATTTCATTGGGTTTGTCATACTGCTTACCATTATAGTTTACTTGGCTGATTGTGGAATTTTGTCCCCTTTTATTACAGATAAATGACCAGAAATTGTTCGGATCCTGAGATAGTCTACTTTGGATATCTACTAGATATTTTTGATATGCGTTACGCTCATCGCGCTTAATTTTGGTCCTTAAGTCTTTGAACTCAGTGTATGTGATCAAACTTTTATCCTTTTTAAACTTTTTGTGTAGCAAATTTTTTCTTTTAATGTCTCTAATCATTTCACCGTTAAACCAAACTGGAAATTTGAGAGATCTGAGACTTGTCCTAGGGACACACATATTAAAAATTTTACGAAGAATGTTATAAAATGTTTCCAAAGCTACGTTTACATCTGTTAAATTGTCAAGAAACGTCCAATTAACCAAGCTTATTTGTTCATATAGTGCTACAAAATTGGCTTTTCTGAAATTATATGATTCTCTGGCGCATTTGATACTCTTTTTAGAGTGGAAGCTCATGTTGATTATCATGACAAGCGGAGGATGGTGAACATCCTCAGGTAGTAGGTCATCATAAGCCTTAACGACGCTACATTGTTTATTTGATAACACTAAATCTAATAGCCTATTATTTTCATTCCGAACATCATTGAATTGAGAAAGATCGAAGAAACCCATAAATGACTGAATTGTTTTCTGCTTGTGAGAAGATTGGAGGTGATTTTCATTAACAAATTCGGGAACATTAAAGTCACCTAGTATATAAATACTTTTGCCAAAGAGGTAATCAAGCGATTCTAGATGTTCAAAGAATCTTTCATAGCAGGAAGTACTCGTGTCAGGCGGTATGTATATCACAAAGAAATAGGTCACTTCATTTTTATATCTAAGTTTGATTCCAATTATGTCAATACTGGGAATATCGTCTCTGATAAAAGTCATATTTACCTCTGATGCAGCAAGTTGATTACGAATACCAATTAAGACACCACCTCCTCTAGAACACCCCATCGCAGAGAAATTTCTGTCCGCTCTAAATACAACATATTTGTCAGTAAATAATTCAGAACTAAGTACTGCAGACTGCAGCCAAGTTTCAGTACAACAGATGATATCATAGTCAGACATAGCGACATTTACAAAGAATTCTTTACACTTAGAGTTCATACCGCGTACGTTCTGGTAGTAAACAGAGATGCGACGATCAGAAAAGGTAGAAGTAGAAACTCTTACAAAATTATCTTTACCATTCCTCCAAACGCCTGAGAACCATTACTTTCTAACAAGATGATGGCCGTCCCCATATTGCTAGAGCTACCCTAGACTACCTCATTAACATAGAAATCAACCTCCTTCCTAAGCATCGTAGATCTCCATACCATTCGGCAATTGAACATGCGAGGGATATGATGGGAAGAAGAGCGACCTCTTTACTCCGTCCTCCATCAACGGAAGCAGCACTTTGGAATCAAGTACAGCTTGGGATGATATAATACTGGAAGACATAAATCAGCCCATCAGTAGCAAGCCCCTGACGATTATTATAATAATTAGCGAAATCTAGCAATACTGATAATATGTATATCCAATTCATAATATATTCACTTCCTCTTGCTTATGTTCAACTGCATACAAAAGTTCATGCAAATAAATCAGTTTTACTGTTCTATTTGTCGCTGAGTATGTATCACTCTTAAATCCAAGATCTGTACATATGATGTAAGCTCGGATGTAAGTTGTTCCCCGACGTCCGGCTATTAATTTGACCGTCAACCAGTACTCTATTCGTACCCAGGTTAATAACCGTACATTCTGTTGAAGTACAAATGGTGGACAGCAGAATACATTGGTGGCTCCTATGTATCCAACAATTCTCCAAGTCGAATTTGGCAACGATTCCGTAGTATTTCCCAGAAAACTGGAATATGTATACTAGGGAACCTACAAACCTTGAAATATCCATTCACACATAACCCCACGCAGCTAACGTCCGAATGGTTCAGGACACAAATTCAATAAAATATTTCGCAAAATACGCTTACAAACTGGGTGGTGGACTAGCCGGTACACATTTCCGTTACTGAACAACAATGTTGGCTCAAAATATATCACTCTCATATCCGGCGCTACAATAACGAGATTTTTGCATAGAATGTAAGCTGATCCGCTCTTTGAAATGTCCATCTGTAAATCTGTAATCCGTCTGCATCCGGATTATCAACCGTCCATTTTGTCCGAGTGCAGTGTCGTCGGCGGAAGACAAAGTGCTTGGACGTGTCAGAGCGGCGACACTTTTGTGTCGGCGCGAATTCAGGCGCCGTCGGCCGATCGGTCTTTTGAAAAGGATTTTTTGGAAATCTGTGACAGTGCAAACCGACGGCCGCCTTTGTCCCTGTCTGACGTTCTTCTTTTATGTTGGGCTGGTGCCGCCCAGGGCACTCTTGATTGCTGCCGCTGCGTTTCGCGCTCAGATAGTGCACGTGCGTGCTAATTAACCGTGACTTCCTCAAGGAGACAGGGTTGGATTTGATACCCATAACCTGCTAACAGTTATTTGTTGTCCTAGTATCTGTTTTCAAATGAATTACGTTAAAGAATTGAACAGAATTTCACTTCTCACATCTACCGGCTAGAAAGTATTGTAACAGCGAAAAATAAGAGATAATATGTTTTTTTGGATGTTATGTGTATGACGTGCATATCACGAGAAAACTTGTAACGCATTTCCGTCTGTCTGTCTGCCCGCTAATCCTTGGTCCATCTATAACTCAAAAGTACTCTTCGGATTTGGACAAAATTTCCATACTATGCCAATGACGAAAAAAGCTTTGTATATTTTGAAAATCGATCTACTGGCGGCGTAGCTACAAGTAAAACACGAAAAAATAAAAGTCGGAGAAACTTCGTTTTTTGACGTTACAAAAGCTCCTGATTATTTTCAGATAAAAACTTTGTAGGAGTTGTAAATTGGTGGTTATATTTTACATAATGTTGCTACTATGCCAAGAACGAAAATCGTTGTAGTTTTTGAAAATCGGTCCAGTGGTGGCGGAGAAAAACGCCAAAAATAAAAATCATTCGAACCTCATTTTTGCGTTTCATAGGATCCTGATTATCTTAAAAAAAGTTTAGGGGCAACAAAATTGAAGGCGGGTGAGGGAAAGTGTACCACAATCTTTTGACGATGGTGCATCAATACACTTCCAGCCTAGGTGATTCTGCGCATACCTACCTATTAGACATATTTCACACATCTCAGATTTCCCCGTACATTTGTCCTAGTAAAAATAATTCAGCAGATGGATCGCCTACCTATCGGTCGCACTTGGCGTGCACCACAGAATTGTAAATATTGCATATTTGGTAGTGGATCCGACGGGATTATAAAAACAGATAGTGGGGATGCGACATACCTTACGAAGTGGGCGCCATATTATCTATATGTACAAAGCATTACGCTTGCAGTACAATTTAATGAGGTTACTTGATTTCGTGCGGTAATATTATATAGTACGTATAGTATATAAGTATGTATCAAGAGCTATTATAATCAGTTATCAAACATTGTTGACAAACAGGTTTACACCCGAGCGCCAAAGAAATGGTGCTACCGCTGGGGACACGTTCATTGCTGCAATCTGAAGAAATTTTTGTTCGTGAAAAAGCCAGATAGTGCACTAACGGTACTGACAAAACCTACGTCTTTTTGATACCATTGCGCTACAAGGAAAATTCTACTAGAAGTTATTTTGAATGAGTGGAAAGTTTAGAGTCAATCTACTTGACGATATATTTTGTTTTAATATTCGTCCAGAAGACAATTCGATGTCTGCCGAAAATTCAATTTAGTGGACTGCAGTCTGGTGGCGAAACGGGAGAGATTAACAAAACATATCGTATGTCGCTGTGGAATACGGTGAGATTCGCCAGCAGAAGCATACGATGTTATGCCTCCTCCCTTCATTTTTGGTACCCGCGTATAGTATTCTTTCAGGGTCGCTAAAATGCTACTGAAATTGGTGCCCGGATTAAGTTGTCCTTAACCTATGTTTTTAAGCAACAAACTTTACACAGTGTGGCATATGTAATGAATTCACCAAAGGGCTAAAATTGAACTCGTGAAAGTAATGACGTTGGGTCAAATACGCCAAAATAAAATCACTAAACTATCATAATTTTTATTAAAAAATAATGACAAAAATTATGACATGAAATAGCGATATTATAGGCTGTAATTATATAACCTGTGTTTTACTAAAGCATGTCACTTTTTCCACAAGTCACATTTATTATCGCAGAAGTTTAAAAAACAAGCCTGCCTCATAATATAGCTAAGATGTTTATGCCATTATCTACAAGGTAGTTACACATTTGACAAAAAATTGAGCGGTGATTCTTTGGACTAAAACTTATTCTCCATTGGAAGATTTGAAAAGCCGGTTTCTCCAAAACGAAGCGGTGTTTCGGATTAGAAAATAAAAACGTAATAATAATCTGCTATATGTATAGCTCAAACTGAAAATTACAAACCATATAAACGACAGAGCCATTAATTTTGTCAAGCTCGTGCCAGTTAAGGGTATGCTTCGAAATAGAGGAGTAAGGTGTAAAATGCAATATTTGCTCAACACTGACAGCAATTTCCAAAAGAGTGAGCCAATTCACAATAAAATGATCAAATGTAGCTTTAAAAAAAAGTGAAATACTTTTTTCAGTCGCTTGAATAGTTTCTTTTGTCACTCTTTAAAATTACAGTTATCTTCTGGCATTCGGAAATAACCAAGTTGGGCCAATATACTGGATCCTACCCTGCCTTACTCTGAATAGCAGGTAATGATACTCTTACAAGCCAAAATCAATTTTGTATGCGTTACTGGTACCTTTGTGCTCTGTAAATTTCTTCAAAACACAATTAACGAACGCCTCTCTTTTGTCGATTGGATCATGATGCAGCATTCAAAAAAGATGAAAGTTGAAGTATCATCATCCACACAATGTAAGTGACCTTTATGGGTTCAGAACCAGAGACCCAACGTATGCACTTATAGGAAAAGAAATGTTTCGATTACTTATGACAATGCAAGTATTGTAATCGGGATAAAATGTAGAGCTCGAAATAACAGATCACATATTTCCGACGGCCTCCTTGTCTGTCTGCCCGCTAATCCCCTCTATACTTTGGAAACTACCGCTCGGATTTTGATGAAATTTTCACACAAGTTTACTATCCCAGCGACAAAAAAGCTCTTTGAAAATCGGATGTAGAAGGAGAACGTAGCCAGATGAACGGAGCTACCACTGTCTATGGATAATTGTATCGGCTTGACAGACCAGATCCGTTTATTTTTCTGTAGTACATGTTCGTATAAAAAAATCACTATTTTTTTCTCAGTACTCCACTTAATCTTTCATGAACTGATGACGACAATGCGTGGAAAGTGCAGAGCCCACCTACTTAACGCCATTCTTATATGAACAAAGCAGCCATATTGCGAAATCAAATCTAAAATCCCGGAATTTCAAGACACTCGATAATAAATAATAGCTGCTTCGGAGTGAGCCACACTCAAAAAAAAGTAATTCACAGTGATATGATTAATACAAAAGAATATTCAAGTACATGACTTCTGTAATTCCCAACTATTTAAAACATTTTTCAAAATATTCCAAATATATCTTCAAAAATTCATAGAAGCATATTAGAAAAACAGATTTTGAGGCTTCAATTTCGTATTTCATTTGTATAAAAATATTAGATTTTATTACCATATTGCATGCAAGTGAATTTGTCCTGAATCTACTTTATTAGTGAGAAAGTAGGTGTTTTGGAGGTAACTCATCACGACCTCCAAAATAGAATATCTGCATAGGCTGCTCAGCTAAATCTTCAAATGTAATTCTATGCCTATTATGCCTATCGAAATATACTCCCTGGCAATATATTCTGTACTATTTGTAGAACAAGGTCAATATGCATATACAGAAGTTTTTTTATATCTACTTATACATAGATAGAGACATTCTGAAAGGAACTGGTGGGCTTTGTAATTTTAGCTCCAGACAAAATGTATAACAATGTCTCAGTTGATGACCACCATGTCACTACATGCTACAACCGGAGAGAACAAAATAAGAAATAACTGCAAGCGAACAATTCCCTAATTTTTTCCAAAAACTTCGCTGTAGGTGCACCTCATACCTATTTCATGCTTCCTTAGAAAACCAAATCCGCTTTTCAAAGGAGCGTACGTTAGACAGCTGCTCTCTTCATTTTCAAGGAATATTCTACCGTGTTTACGTTTGTTTTGCATTTAGTTTGACACGTTTAGGTCAATAGCTTTATTTTGTAGGTGCAAGCATACAATAGCTTCCCATGTGGTAAGGTAGATTTGGCCAATGCCCTTGGATGGATCTCTTATTCTGAGGGTGAGCATCACGCGGTGCAACGCGTTATTCGTTTTAAACTCTATTTGTGTAGGATTGAAGTATATTGTTGTTTGTTAGTTACCTTCACATTGTGTGCAATAAAGACTTTGTTTGCTGCTGGCACATTTACCGGGAACTAAATACAAATTGATCTGTGTTATTCAGGGGAGGTAGTTTGCCATAATGGAGAGATCATGCCCAAATAATGTATTACTTTTCAATAATATCAATGTCTATTATTTTGGTCCAATTTTTTGAGGAAAAATCACTGATAAGAGTATTCTTCCTAAAGGTAGCCAATCAGATTCCAGCGTTCAAAAAGGGACCAAAAAAATCCTAGCGCCATCTATGATACAGTGGCAGAAAACAAAAAATAATAAAGATATCTACTGGCTGTTTATCTTACCTATTCCTGCTACAATTATCAGTTTCGCCAAAGACACAGTTTTACTCGATGAAGGTGATGCAGTGATAACGTCCATTAGAAAAATACTTTTTCCATATTATTGTCCTACTTCAATAGTAAAGTTTGACAGTGCATTTTACTAAAACAGTTTATCTTGCCTTTACTGGCTTTCCTATAAACTTAACTGATTTTACTGCTACACCTACCTACTACCACAATCAACAGATGGCTGTTGGCAGGAGCCAATGATTACTTGGGTGTGTATCCAGATTACCACTTAAAGTGGGACAAACATATGGAATATTCAACAGGGATAATAGCAATAATGATGATTAAGAACATTTCTTACCAAAACTCAGATTCGCTCTTATATATTCACACCTAAATTATGGGGTCATTGCATAAGGCGAGTCGCTGAAACCTACCCAAAATGTGCGGAGTAGTACAGAAATGACTTATTAGGATAATAATAAACGTAAGTTGTAATTACCCTAGTGACTAGCCGTACATACAGTCAGGACTAATGGATGTCCGGCAGATCTATCTATTAACACTACTAAAATTCAACATGATCTTTTTTAAATTCTAACCAGAGCAAATAAAACAATCGCTCAGCGATGCTATACATACCTAGCAGGCGTTCCTGAAAAGATTGAAAGAATAAACTTCAAAAATATATACCTACATATAATACAGAAATGGAGTCTTACTAAGCCTAGAACATTCGCATCAGAACTAGTTTATCTGAAAAATAACAAAAGAATTTTTCTTTTATTATTAGAATTTATTCAGGGCTCACACAGTTTGGATTATTTCCTTATTAAATATAAACATCAAACAGTTACGGTTGTTTATAAGTTTTATTTAACTTTTCCAATTCATATTTATTAAATTATATAATATTTAAATTAGTATGTTATATATGCTCATATTTGTCCGGTATCAACTATTTACTATAAGTATACTTCCACGCACAAGCGTAGCTTTAGTGGGAATTCGTTATGTCTTATATTTTAGGATTTTATAGCATACTTAAATAATAAACTAGAACTGCTACTACTTCTTAGGTAAAAGTTAAAAGTGTTTGGTTCTGCTACTATTCCATCGATGCCACTACCACTAGGGTAGTCAATATTCTGTTGGTGCCTCTCTAATGTCCATTTTAATTAAATATTTGCAGGTGGAATACTTTAATCAGTGCCTGAAGATGCCCAATTAGAAAAGGCATTACAGAGGCGCCTAAAAAGGACTGCAGATCCCAGCACTATCTATGCGACAGTAGCAAAACCAAACACTTCATTGCTTCTAAACGCAGGCTCCTAAATTCATCTTTGAGCGTGAATACAGTATATGAATACCTTCACATGGAATACTTTAATCAATGACTGAATATAATGAATTACATATACATTTTTGTTGTTAAATTATCAAGAAGAAATCGATTTTATTTTAGTTCTTCCAACGTACTTAAAATATTATTTTCAGTTTGAGCATATTATAACAGTATCTAAAATGACATAATTTAATGTAAAAAGTTATTCTATTGCGCCACCAATGGCGAACCGGCAAACATGCTTTCTGATGTCTCTTACACTGACATTTTTCAATTTTAATACTTGTCTACAGCAGTATTTTGTCGATTCAACGAGAACCGGTGCATTTAATGAGACGACAAAAAGTTTTTTTACGTAGAAGTGATCAATCTAACAAAAAAAGACATATCTACTTTGAAAAATATCAGCGACACACCAATTTTTTTGTAAAAAATATCACAAGGTCTGATTTTAGAGGTGCTACTGAAAGCACAATCGAATTTCATTCTAAACCTCTTGATACCAAAAATAAAAGGATTATCTAAATCACTTTCAAAGATATAAAAAACTATATAAGAAATATGCTCATAAATGTATTCGAGACATCTTGGAAGTATTAGCACATTATTAAGGAACACCCTGTATAAGAATGAATAAATCTACCTTCTGATCGAGTATCACAAAATTATTGTATCTTATGACAATGAATATTTAGTGAGTGCCTAATTTCAAATAGAAGCTTTATTATCACTTTAGATAAACAATAATATA